AGGAAAGAGTAAATTATGTTTTTGGTCCTCTTGTAATATCAAAATCGCAATTTTGGTCTTCCATTTTTAATTTTGCAATGTTATTCCCTCAATTTTATCAAATACACAATTTTGGTCGACTCGCTTCATGTATCTGTTAATTGTTAAAATTGTAATGTTCATCGTGACATAACATTATATAGATATTAGGATAATTAATAATTTAATACTACCTTTGATCCTCGTGATAAGTAACAAATTAAATTTTTCTCTAAGTAATAATCATTAGTTTTAAAAGTTACTCGAGGATAAATTTCTTTTATACCTCAATTTAATGTTAACTTTATTTTCAATGTATTCCCTTATAATTAGTAATAAATATAACAACTATCCCTATTCCAATGTATTCCTATTCTACTCTTAATAGCCGATAGAATAGGAATTGTCCATGTTAGATCTTACCTTGGTTTTGTTTAGTTTTCTATAGTATAAAATAAATTAATTAGTATGTCATATATTGAATCTCATGTCATGACTAACGTTACCATTTTAATAATCAATAGATGAATATTTAATGAAGGGACCAAACTTGTGGAATTTATAAAATGAGAGACTAAAATTGCATAAATAAAAAAAAATTAAAATTGCATTTTTGATATTATTGGAGGACCAAAAGTGCAATTTAGTAAACAAAATGAAAAAGGTAGTTATAAGGCCAAAATAGTCCTAAAAAATGTTCACCAAAAGGAGATACTTCCTTTACAATTTTTTTTGATATAAGGGATGGCCTAAAGGCCGCTAACAACAGAAACTACGAGGAAAGAGAACACCTAAAAAATTCTTAACCTAAACTTTCCTCTAACTTAAGCATCAAAATGTATTTGCAAGTGTCCCTCCTTATCGCACATATTGAAGCAACTAGGGCATTGTCCCCAACATTGGAACACTTGTAGATTTTTGTAAAAAATAAAAATATATAAAATTAAATTTTAAAAATTAAAAAATATTTTTTAATTGAACCATTTCAAATCGTTTGACTAGTTTTAGACTAATTCTATTGATTTTCAACTAGTTCGGTGCAAAATGGTTATATGTACAAACCAAATTGGATATGGATCAATTTCCAATTCCGAACAATCGGTCCAATTTTGATAATCATGTATCAAATTATTGGACCAAATTAGCTCTAATTAAAATTAATAAAATTTAAAAGAAAATAATTTTATATAAAAATAAATAAATATTGTTAGACAAAACAGACTAAACATTTGTTTTTTAACTAAACATTTTTTAGTATTCATTGAGGTAAGGGAGAGTGAGTAATCTTGCTTTAGAGCATGGGATAATTGTTAGATATAGAGGTTGACCCTCAATCTCTGTATGTTATATGTATTGAATGAAGGGAAAACCCTATTATTTTATGTTGGTGATTTGTTGTATGTTCCGTAACTCTTCAACTCCCTTATTGATGTTAATTGTAATTTAGTTAATTTGGTGTGATAAGCCCTCTTGATATGATTTGAGTTGCGTGTGGGTTCCATTGGGAACCTTAAGAGAATGCATTTGAGAAATTGTATAAGAAGATGTTATGAGTATGCAATTATGTGAAATTGAGATTGAATTTAAGTAATTGATGGTATAGAGTAATGTTAGCTTTAATCTATGTTTTTATCGATTGAATTATGTGGAGAGAGTTTGGAAGTGAGTTGTGTCAAGTTCTGAAAATTCTAATAAGAACATACCTTGATATTTTATGTGATTTCTCTATGTATGATTAATGAAATTGAGTTTTGATTGTTGGGTTAGAAAATACACATTTAGGATTATAGTTTATACTCAAGAATCACATAAAGATGTTAAGGAATGACCAAGTTCTGTGAGTTAAAAGATAAATCTTATATTTTGTGCGTGAGATGTAACATGTGTATGTTGTAAGCCTTTTGAGTAGATTTAAATCAAAGAATTAGGTTTTGTAATCTTCATAAAAGTTGTAACCCTGGATGTTAGCTTTCAAATTTCGTTGGAATCACTTAAAAATGAGGTCTAGAACTCAAGTTATGATTAAATTAATAAGCGAAGGTCAAGCTGTCAGGTTTAGGGTGAAACATTGCAGTTTTATATTTTTTTTAAATAATAGATGACATAATTAGCTCTTAGGGTCAACCTAGAAATTGGAGATAATTGTCTTATCTTTCTAATAAAATTAAGATCAACTTGATATCATATATATAGCTCTAAATAGGGCGTTTGGATCATACAATGTTTTAGGAGGTTAAGTTGTGAATCACACAATGTCTTATGAATGGTTTGGGGTACTTATATCAATGTTTAGGAATGATGAATTATGATAGGGAACAATTGTTAATATGTTATGATGTAAGTTTATTGTTAATGACTTTAGGTGTTTTAATAATAACGATGTCTAAGGACTTCATGCGGGATACTGATAAAGTTGATAGACTAGTTAAGTTATTGGTTTAAATTCTTAATGACATTGATTTCAGTGACTATGGTTGAGGTGCTAACATATGATTAAATGATCTCATAATGATTCTTACTTGAGGTGTATTGGATGATGTGTAATCATTATATTACTTAATAATTGGTTGTAGTGTGTAAGTATGCCATTGATATGACAAATTGTGAACTATGTATGAATTTATTGATGTGCTTTAACATTGATGCATTTGATGTGTATGGATCCTATGAGAGTCACAGTCTAAGTGAAGCTTAACCATGATATGATGTGATATGATAAGATGTATGATGTGTTATGGTATAAGACCATGTGAATATAGTGCATATAATCTATTTAACATGCATCATATGCATAAAATATTTTTAAAGGATACAATATGGAATACATCGTCAACAAAGGTCTATTGTGTAAAAGCTTCGGAAGCAACCTTAGGGATAGCTCGATTTGAAAGTTTCAATCCTGCCCTTATGAGCATGGGATGTATCGTGCATAGCTTAATTATCCTAACTAGACCCTGATAGTATGTCCTTCTAGTGAGAGTGCGCAAAGGATGTGACCCGACATGTATTCATAAACTACTCTATATTTATTGTTAGCGATAATATACAAGTCTGATATGTGATATTTTTACTAACGTCACATGCATGATAACATATAGTCGGTGTTCATTGCATAATGTATCTTAATGTTATGTGGTATTTGATTATTATGTCATGCACTACAAAAAAATGTGTGATTTGTGGGGGTTATTTTGGTAGTTTCTGGCGGTTAAAAATTTCCATAAATCGCATTACCGGCGTCATCAACAACCGCTGGATCTACGGTCGCCAAAAACCGTTTGTGGCGGATATTTTGTAAACGCGGGTTTTGAGCATCAGAAAATTCAATTAATTTGTGGCGGTTTAAAATCGCCAGAAAATGCATTTTAATTAAGACGGCTACAAAATTCATCTAAATTTTGCTTGATTCAACATTTCTGGCAGTTTTAAACCGCCAGAAATATACTTCTTTTTTTTTTCTACTTATTTACACTTTGACAGTTTTATATAGTCAAAAAAATGCATTTGGGAACTATATATTGTCCAGATAAAGTACTTAACAAGATTGATCAAATTTATCACCCATTGACATCCAAAACAAGTTTTAACTTTTAAAATTTAACTTTTAAAACAAATGTGCAAATACAGTCCTCGCATTTGGAGTTGATTGATAAGCTTACAACTTGGAACATGAGTTCAGAGTATTATACCTCTGCCATACAAATGCGTCCACCTTATAAATGATAAAGAACATTGAACCTAATGAATCTCTAATAGAATTTACAGAGCAAGGTACAATAAATTGCAGACGAATATGGGAACTTCATCATCTAAACCTAACCCTTGAGGTACAATTGTACAAGCCATCCAGCCATCAATCCAAGTTACTAAAGGGCTTAAAATAACCAGAAGCAACACATCAAACCACTGTAAACCTCACAACCTGACCTCAGAAAGTAAGAATGTTATGGCTTCCCCTCCTAGTAAACTTTTTTCTACCAAAACTAAGAATTTAAGTGACAAAATTAACATTGAGCTTTTAGGAACCGCAATTTATTTTATCAATAACAAATTGAAAAAGCCAACTAGTGGTAAAATACTTGGTTGTTGCAGACATGCAGCAACAAATTAGAAATATTGCTTGGGTAGGGCCATAATAACTACCTCCGCGCTTTAAAACATCCTCAGGACAATATAGCTCATATAGTCAAGCTCCTTTGTTCTATAGAGGCTCTGTAGAGCATTATAACAAACGAGGCTCTCTTCTTCTAGAAGAGATTCATCCAAATTACAATAACGAAGAACATTCATGAGAGAATGGATATGTGATTCCTGTCAACATAAATAATAGGTTAAAACAAAAGTATGGAAATAAAACTAAGATAATTTCCATGCACATGTCAAGTGTCAACAACAAATTCCCAGATGTACAATGTGTTGGGTTGCAATGATTTTATATTTTGGAATATGGATAAACACATGCAATATCTAGTTGTTTAATCAATATCAAAACTATATTCATCAAACATATAATTATATATTACCTTAACGCCAAAAATTAAGCATAAGGACAAAGTAAGCTCCAAAGCATTAAGTTGATATAACAATACCATTACCAGCCTCTAAATGTTTTTATAAGAATACTTTCAACATCAAAAATTGCAATCTTCATTAAATGTGATACTTAAGTACATTTTCTATCACCACTTACGCTTTCACGTTGCAAGCTATAGGACAAACAAATTTCAACAACTTTAATACATTATAACAGTGAAAAAATAATATAGCATTTTACCTTTATTCCAACAATAGCTAGCAAGACAAGTTCGTGTTCTGGTAAGGACCACCGCTCTAATTCAACCTCATTAGATGGAATTTTGTCTAAATCATACGATCTATATGCAATGGCAACACAATGCAAGCTCTGAGCAGCCATGTCTAAATCATATTTTTTATTTATTTTTATCTCCCCTGGTTCAGTTCAATAATTTTAATTCCCTCAACAAACTTTCTATCACATGAAGCTGTTGTTCCTTACCTTTTCTTCTTCAATAGATTTCAAGTGACCATCAGAATCAATATATTGTGTACAAGTTTCTAAAACAATCTTTTTCTCATAATTGAAGGGGAAGACATGGAGAATCGTTGAATTTGATCTAACAAGTTCAAAATTCATCCCCAACTGCCACCAGGACTCAATAGATTAGTTCACCTTCAAAATCATTACCAGTGTAAAGCTACTCTGGTGATATATGATAAGCTACTCTGGTGATATACGTACACACAAAATAAATAAATAAATTAACACATACACATGCTATAAAGAATAAGAACCTTATGTTCAGAATATTGTTACCAACCTTCAACTCTGCTATCTCTTGTTCTCGTTTTGCAAATGTGACAATGAATGCAACTTCCTTTTTCTTTGCTTTTTCAAGCTAATAACCAGTAGAAAAGTGAAATGGCTTAGTGAAATATGATCAACGTATATTGGATCATTTGAAGCATAAAAATTAAAAACTAGATTCTGAACCTGCTCTCTTAAAGACTCTTCAAATGATTTCAGAGCTTGAAGATAATTAATCACCAATTTTGGTGCTAGAAAGTATAAAGAAGAAATAATTGCTTAGCTATATATTTAAAACACAGAAACCAACTATTAACAAAACCATATCATGAATAAAAAACACATCTGTTACTTGCAAAATAATAAGCATAAACTAACCTGGAGTGGTCCCAGCAGATATAAAAGGTTAATTTTGAAATGAAAAATGCCACTTCTTAATCTCAGATTTTGCAGCCTCAAGTTCATTCTGGAATTATACAATGAACTGGTAAACATTTATAGGAAACAAAGAAGGTACAAGTCAACCTATATACTGAACTTTGGGCCACTCTGTTAGGATACTCAACTCCAACAGATTAGGTTCAGCTATGTGAATTTTTTCGAACTAACAAATGGAATTAAAAATAGTGTGTAAATTTTTGTGTAATCTCTGAAAAATTTGTTCCACCTAAAACCTTTGAACAAAAAAATTAAAACAAAATATTATACAAAGCAAAAATAGGGAATGAAAATGGATATGAATCGAAAACTCACCTTAAGTGGAAGCAATTGATCGAAGAACAGCGTAGAGAAGAGAAAGATTAAAAAGCTCTTGCGAAATCACTAACCCCGTAGAGAACAGTGTAGAGAACACTTAGCGAAATGCTTTCATCGCAAATTGGCTCACCAATGACTGCGTTGAGCGTGAAATGAAGCTAAAGGTTTGACGAAAAAAGAAGTTTGAGAGTGAAGCAGAAGGTTTAACAGAAGAAGAAGAAGCGGAGGTTTGACGGCAGAAGCGAAGCAGAGCATGAGTTGAAGTGAAGCAGAAGGTACCCTAGGGATTTTTTTTTATTTTGAATTAAAATTCTTTAACTCTTTTTTATTTTTATTTTTTTTTTATTTTTTAATGAGAATAAAAGTATATTTTAGTTAAGTTGTATACGTGGTGTGGTGACAATATTTAAACATTGTGGGGGTTTAAAATCGCCAAAAATTTAATTATTTTGTGGTGGTTAAAATAACCGCTAGAATTATAACATTTTGTAGCGGTTTTTTAAAATCGCCGGAAAAAAACCGCCACTAATTAACTAATTTTTTGTAGTGATGGAAAGGTAAAATGAGTTATTGTTACCAATTTGTCTATGTTGTGCATATATGTATATGTCTTGTTTGTATTTGACTGTCCAACTACATCTTACGTCATGAGCCAAAGTGAGATGTTTCTCACTCTCCTTGTTTTGTGTTTGTCTTTATTGTATGTTCTTGCAGATGATTTACATCATGAGGTTGAGGATGTTGCCAATGAGGCCTAATCTTTATAGTTGGATTTATGCTTTGATATAATGTGACATCGAGACTTAATTAGGAATTATCTTCTTTTGTCATGTTTTAAGATAATTATTAATTTTTTTGTAATAGATTTCATTTGTATATTAGTTGATTTTATTCTGTTAAAATGTGATACTCTCTATATTAAACATGATGAATTTTCATTATAATAAACTTCTTGATTTAATTTTATTTATTTAAAGTATTATGATATATGAGATAGAAAGTGTTACATTCACACTTGACTTTACGTGAATGTTGCTTGGTAGTGTTATTTTTTAATAAGTCAAAAGATGATTTGGTGATTCTTATTCGAAAAATGTAGCATTGCTCTCTAAATTATGACTCGTGTTGCCATAAGAAGCAATGAATATGCACAAATTGAAAATAACATGATATTAAATAATGCTAAAGGCTAGGGTGGAAAAGAGAAGTATGTAATTTATGGTAGACCATTGTTATTTATTGTTAGATTATTCTAGTCCTTACAATTTTATGGTAGATTATTGGTATCAAATTATTTTTCCCTTTAGTAATTTAACACCTTTCTTCCTTGACTCTTCTTCTCCCCCACTCCAACAACACTTGTTGTCTTCATGCATCCTACTTTGATAAAGCTACATGGATGATCGAGCACAACAAATGCTTCCTCTCATTACAAAAAGTCACAACAAATTTGTTAACTAAAATGAATATGTCTTGGCAAAGCTAGTAGATAAACACCTCGTCATGTTGCTCATTGTTATCATCGGTTGTGATGGCTTTTCTGATCCCAAAGCTCCAACTTTTCTCATCAATTCATTACTCTTTTTTGCTTAGCTTCCATTCAAAACAATAACTAATTTTGATGAATGTAAATTAAGGATAAAAAATTTGAAGCCACTTTAAAAGATTTTGAGGAATCGAGTAACCTTGTCCCAACAACCTTGCACCTCAGTGATACCAAGTACATGGTCATCCAAGGTGAACCAAGTGTTGTCACCTGAACCAAAAAGGTTCTTTTTTGCAAATGAAATTGGGTATGGCTAAGTGGGATTTAGAGGCCATGGTGAAAGAGGAAGGAGGACGAGCAAAGAAAGTTTATGAAGACCAGATTAATCTAATGAGAAATAAGAATGAACCAACATACACCACCTAATTCCCTTCTCCACCCAAATTTCCATCTTAAATAATACATGTAACATAAACTACATCATTCTAAGATGATAGCACAATTAACAATTGAACGCTTAAGATTGATGCTTTTCGCATTATATATTTTCTTTGTCAAAGAATATAATTCACACAATATTTTAAAACTAATAAAAAAATTAATCTACGCCTGTGACAGTAATTTCTGCTAGCTAATTATTATTTTAACACTGATAAAAATAACCCTAAAAACACCATATAGACCCCATGTCCCATGATCGACCCTTAAACAGCTATAGAAATTAAAAATAAATAAAATAACATCATAGAAACTTGGGAACAAAAGCATCATTTTATTTCATGTTGTAAAAATAGTGGCAAGTACTTTTACCTATAACAGATTCATAAGTTATGAAAAAGTTTATTTTAGATTTAAAATCCGGAAAAATTGTGTTAAGATTTACCTATATCTAATAAGAATGTTAAATCAATTTAATCTTGCAAAAGTTGACCATTAACTAACAATTCCGTAAAGTACACCATTACAAATAATAATAATAAAATAAAAAATAAAAAAAAACTAGATTTATGCTTAGAATATTTGTAAAAATGACGAGACATCTTGTATAGATTTAGAAACAAAAGAATGTGGTTTAACAAATAGAAAATAGGTTAAAATATATTTTTAATTTTTATAATTTCATTGACTTTGTCTTGACCCCTAAAATTTAAAATATCTTTTAGTGCCTAAAATTTAAAATACACTTCTAAATTGTTATATTTAGATTCTTTAATCATTTTTAATCCTCATAAGTAAGTTTATTAAACTCACAATGGTGATGAATCATTTAAAAGTTTGAAGAAAAAAAATAATGAAATGTCTAAATAGTTTTATAGAAAGGCAATATTTACTATAATATAATGTAACTATCAAGTTACTAATAAGTATGTAATAAGCCACCGCCCAAAATATCAAATACATTACTTCCATGAAAATTTAATAAATCTATGAAACTCACAAAAACGATATTATAAATATTTAAATAAAATAACAGCAAAGATTAAAAAAAATTTAAGTATAAGAACTAAAAGTTTATTTTAAACTATAAGAACTTAAAAATACAATAAGTAAAACTACATTAACTTAAAAAAGTATTTTAACCTAGAAATAAATTAGTGTAATATATTCGATAATAATTATTATAATCAGCAATATACCTTAACAACCAAAGAAACGAAAACCCAATAAATCTTCTTTGTGCAGGACCCAAACCCTTCTCTAGTGCCCCCTTATAATTCTAAACTTCCCATAATTGTGGCCAACAAACTCCTCATGCTTCTTACTACCTCCTAGTTATTCTCCCACTCTTTCTCTCTCTCTCTTCTTACACTTTTGCCTTTCATCATAAAGTGATGCAAAAAAATAAAATGATTTCTAGTAAATAATCCTCTTTTGTATGACAAATCGAAATAGATGGGATTGTATATATTACCAACTATTCTGGTAACATTATTCAGCCATACCTCCTTAGGAAACAAGTTTGGGAAAAGTATGTATATTGAGGCAAATTGGAAAGATAACAGTTCATATTCATAAAGGATAAAGGATGTGATATGTAAACATACATAAACAGCTAGTGCAAGTCCTCAAGTTGTATCAAAAGATAGGATATGAAAAGCCATATGTAACAAACATAGGATATGAAAAGCCATATGTAACAAACATAGGATATGAAAAGCCATATGTGACAAACATTTTTCAGAATAATGACAGCAACAAAACTACTATGACTATGAAGTTCATATAAATAAATTCAAGACATAATAATAACAAGAGCAAACTAGATTTCCAAATTGTGAATGGTCTCACTCTATCTCCCATTTGGTTCATTGAGCCATGATCTGCATCCTACCTGTTCTAGGAACTTGGTGAGGCGCAAGTGTTTTGCAGCCCATTGTTCAGCCAACTTCTGCTCCTTGCTTTCTGCATCTCTTCTCAACCCTGCCAACTGCTCCCTATACTCTGCTTCAATTCTATCCAATGCCACCGTTTGCTCCTCCCTCAGGGCTTTCATCTTTGCCTCCACTTCCTCCATCTTCTCCCTCCGCCGGCTCGCCTTCTCCGACTCCAACTGCAGCTCCACCCGGCTCAACCGCCACGCTGCCTCCTTCTTGTGTGCTGCCAAAGCATGGTGCACTTCCTCCAACTCCTTGCAACACTCCACCAACTCAGACATGACCATGTTTTCGCCAAAGGCTAGGACAGCACCGCCGTGTGGTGCCACATTGCCTAACACAAGAGGGCGGGTATTGTCGGGCCCTCTTACCGGCTGCAGCCACGCAGGCGGCGCTGCCACCGTCGATGGCGAAAGGCTAAGAGTCACCGATGGGGACGGCGGCCTCACAGGGGCTGCCGTCCCATTGGAATTCGAAAGCCACGACGGGAGCAAGGCCGGTGCCGGCACCGGCACTGGCGCATCTGCGTGCAAATAAGAACTATTGGAGGTGGCCATTACAAATGATGGTGAAGGCCTATCTTTGACTAGTTTCTCAGCAAAACTCTCTAGTATGTGCTCGTACTTGCTATCGTTTATAGGGTCAATAGCACAGTTATTTCCCTTTGTTTCTCTTTGTTGCTTCTCTTTGAACACTTCCCACCACTTGCCTAATCTCTTGGCAGTGCGACCAGGGACTTGTGCAGCGATTTTCTTCCACTTGTTGCCGTGTGTTGCTTGAAGGTTGATCACAAGACGTTGCTCTTCCTCAGTGAGAGAACCTTTCTTGATGCCAGGCTTGAGGTAGTTCTTCCACCTTTCTAAGCAAGACTTGGCGTCTCTATTAAGAGGCGTGTTCATGCGCTGTGACACGAGATTCCATTCCCTAGGACCATACTGTTTGACATATGCGCGCAATAAAGCATCCTCTTCGGCTCTCCAACGTTGCCTATCCTTCATTTCCAAGTGCAAATGCCACAGCCAGTTGCTTGAAACTTGAAATCATCATGATGTCTCTACAAAATTCATGACAATTTATGTAATCAATTCACCAGAGTTCCAGCTAAATAACAAGGTAGAATTAAAGGAAGAAATGGTAGATTTTCCACAATTTCCAACTATATGTCCACAAATGGGCAAAAGTAATTAGACAATTCTAGAATGCTTATCAACAATGCGTTCATATCAAATCAAGATATGCTTACAAATCAGATAATTGCAGAAAAGAGAAGAACATCCAACATCCTACATGAATATGTAACCAGACACTATACAAAACTATCTGCAATATGAATTGAGCTTATAACAACACTAGGTTTGAGGCTAGCTCACATTCAATTGAGCCCAGGCAATGATGATAATGATCAAATTATTTAAAATACAGTCTACCAAAAAGAAATGTACACAGTTCTGCATTATTTTCTCTCTCACTACTAATACCTTAAACTTCAAAGCAACAAATTTTTCTCTCAGCCTAAGTACTTGCAACATTACTATGCCCTCAGAGTTTTAATCAGTGAATCTATGCAAGTCATTCACCGTGAATTAGTTTCATATGCTCTTCTAACATAACAATCAAGAACCATAAACGAAAATAAACCACACTAGTGGCTTAAGTGCTTAAACCCTTCCCCTCCCATCAGAAAAAAAGTAAAAAAATACAATTTTTCAAGAGTAGTTTCACGGGCATATACAGGAAACACTTCATGCCTAATTCTTCAAACACAGCTTAAGATTATTATCCACACAAACAAGCATCAGTTATGCACTTATATCAGAGACTCAAAAAAGAACTCATCAAAGAGCGTGTAGAGCATCATTTAAGAGACACAATGATTAAACTTGAACACTAGATGGTAATTAGAACAGAGAGAAACAGAAAAAAATAAAATAAAATAAAATCAACGACCACTACAAATTCAGAAACTGTACAAAACAATCTAAAGCCACACCAAAGTAAAAGAACCCATAAACCGAAACACGCAACACCGATATTGACATAACACCAAAGCACACCAACACACTGAAACCAAAACGAACTTGGCTGCACTCTCTCACTAGTGTAATAAAAACCACAAGAAGCAAACTCCTCAGACATGCATACAAAATGCAAACAACATAACAAAACAACAAAACCTTCAAAAAAAAAAAAAAACTCCAGAATCCACTTAGTCAGAGGCTAAAAACCCCATGATAAAAAAACAAGCTTTTTGACACAAGGCAGCACCCCAAAAGGCTACGTGAAAAATGGGAGCAACCCAGATGGATAGAAAGGAAAAAAAAGATGAGGAAGGGATGGTCACTGACCAAGAGTGAAAGGAGAAAGATGAAGGAGTGGAAGAAGTTGAAGTGGTGGGTTGTTCTTAAACAGAGAGAAAGTGGAAAGCGAGGTAAAGACAGGGGAGAGAGAGAGCGTGATAAGACAAGACATGGAGAGAGACCCCACAGCGTGGCAGAGAGAGGGAAAGGGTACGTCAGTTTCAGCGCTTAATATGCGAGAAAGGGCACGCGAATGATAAGGGACACTGGAGTAGTGGACACACATCACATGATCCATCATAACTTAACTTCTCTCTTCCACCCTAACCCCCTTCCCTAATTGCTAGCTAATTACACTTTAATCACATACTCTTGTTCCTTAGTATAAATAATACTCAACACAGCAAGACTTTAAATTTAAATTTTGTATATAAAAAATATAATTAAAAAAAAACTTCACTAAAAATCCTCCATTAAAGAGAAAAACTTTACTAACTCTCTTCCAGAATTTTTCGCATCATTTTTGTCTCCATTTGATTGAAACAGTCTTTTTCGTATATATCTTTATTTATTTTATACATTTTTTCTCACTTTTATATAACTTTTTTTTTATCAACAGTTATTTTTACATTCATTCATCCCTCACGTAACTTGCCTTTTCTTTTTTAATTTTTATTTAAATAAAAACATGCAGTTTTGTGTCTCTACCACATAGTATATATAATAATAATATTATTATTTATATCTATATATATATAAAAGTAATTGTTTTCATATATTTAATTTTTGTTAAAGGTATAAGTAAAATTTTACATTATTTAAACAAGATGATGAATATAACTTTTTATACATACAGTTATTTTTATTGGTAAGAGATCTTTAAGACAATATTTAAAGGTAAAATTGTGAAAATTTAGACACAGAGCAGATAATATCTTATCATTATAGAATGTAATATTTATATATTTATTTATATAATTATTCTCTATTATTATTATTATGGATTAACATTAATTAATAAATTATATTTATATGTTAATATCAATTATATTTCATATTATTTTTAATTTATGTGTAATGTTTATTGGGCTTTTGATAAATTAGTCTGTGATGGATTGGATTATTAAGTAGCCCGTTGAGAGGTTCATGGTCTCTATTGGTAAGGATATAAAACTGATATCTCATTAGTCAGTTCATAAGAAGAAAAACATTTTTTGTTTTTTGTTTTCTCACCTCTTATCAAGAAGATAACAGTTTTTCTCTCATGTTGTTCAAGATCGATAAGAATGGATCCCTCGTTGATTATTTCTAAACCTTCCTCGAACATACTACAATATTGTATCTTATGTTATTCATTGTCTGATAATTACTATTTTTTTAACAATTAGAACTAATGATCAATCAGGTGACATAAAAAGTCTTACTAACTGTAGGGTTTAAAATATAGGGTTCATGTATGGAAGAAAGTCTTCCGGGTAAGAGGCATATTACAAGAGCATGAATGAGCTTTATGGGTCACCATCAAGTAGCGTGATTGGGCTTTGTAGACAATAGCTACAAAAGGAGATAAACCATGATCTTTTGTTTAAGGGGACTATAAATCACCATCAAGTACTTAACGCGTGATTGAGCTTTATAAGCCATCATTAAGTATCATCGTGGACTGATACCTACCACTATAATTAAAAGGGGATAAACCCTGGTTTTTTGTTTGAGGGAAGAATTGTTGGAATGTTCCATTCGTAAGAGACATGAGTAAAAGAAAATCATGAAAATTTAGGCCTAAAGCCGATAATATCTTACCAATATGAAAACATGTGTGTATGGAAACCTTGAGTGCACAACAAGTATTTATATATAAAAAGCGCTTTTCTGTTTATGTGTACATAATTTATTAACTATTTCACCCTTAAATTTTAAATAAAAAAATAATATTAAAATTAACTATTTTTACAAATCTAAGACCTTAAAGTTTGAGAACTAAGCTCAACACCAATTTATTCAACAGATAAGGAGATTGCTCCATTTAATGTATATATTTTTAAGATAATTTTACTCTTAAAATTTTAAATGATAAAAAATAATATTAATTTAAATTCAAAATCTTTAAATTTAAAGAAAGATCAAATACAATACCAATTAACATATTAAATATTAATATATTTTAAATATTTTTATTAATAAAATATAAAAATATAAAATACCTTTATCCCAACTAGAATGCAATAAAAGAAGTAGCAAATCAAAATTTGTTATACTCAAGTAACTTAATAATTCTATTCATTAATCAAGTGTCAGAAAATCTTGACAGAACATAGTCACAAGTAGGGATGGCAAAATGGGTCGTGGCCCACGGTCCAGCCCATTGGCCTGCCAAAAATTGCGCGGGTCGGGCCCATTATTTCAACCCGCCAAGCTCGCCAAACTCGTTGGGCCAAATAGCAAGCTGGCCCATCACATCCCTCCAACCCACATAGGTGATTCCGTGATTGGACTTTAGTATAAATAATGGGTTTTATATATATAAAAAAAAAAAAAATCAGGCCCAACATCTAGGGGAGGTAAGGGTTTCTTCTCTACACTGCAATTAAAAAAATCAATTCCATTCCAGCCGTTCTTCTCCGCAGCTTAGAAGATTAAGAGAGTTTCTTCCCTTTCCTCCACCAAAGAGCACCTTTCCTAAGCCTATCGTATGTATCGGCTTGGCTTTGTCTAGAACTAAGGAGGCGTTCTGGCGGGCGCGTTCGTGTAGGAAGACCGACCACTACATAAGCTAAAAGAGTATGACGACTACATGCGCATCTAGTGCAGTGGCTTGGAAGCAAGCTACCTTGACCATCTTCTGAACTTCTCCAGAATTTACGGATCAAACGTAGTAGGGGCGGACTGCTCTACATTCAGCCCCGCATAGGTGGCCACGTAGTACGTAGTCCGTATATCTTCGATGGTTTCGTTCATTGCTTTTCTCCTCTTTGAAGCCCTCTTCGGAAAGTGGTAACTTCACGTTGTTGATTGTTTATTTGTGCCTTTTGCAGTTTTGCTTCCTTGATTTTCATTTGGATAAAATTCATAAAATTATAACAATCGAGACTTATTAGACCTAAATTTTTAACTGTTATAAAATACCAAAAGATAGTTAAAATAAATTCATACGAAGAAGTTCATTAATGTTTGATTATTATTATTTTTTGGTAAATGACTGTGCCCCTTGGTGTTTCGTTGTTTCTGCAGTTGGGGCTTCTCTGTTATTATGTGTAATACGTGTGGACTATTAATACAGTGAAAATCAGCCAATATAATATGTACAATGAGTCTTGTTGGCATCATTCTGTACTTTGACTTCATTAGGAATTGCTAGAATAGAGTAGCCCATGATGTGGCCTTACGGTGTTTAGAGACTATTGATTTAATTTTCCTAGTAGATCAACCGTAATTTGGTATTATGAGACCCAAACATGGTTTTATGATTGAGTTTGTGAGTCAGCAATAGTCTTGATGCAGTGTCTGTAGTTAGACAACACACAACAGCTTGTATCACACAAATAACATGCTTCTGATGTGCTTAAAAAATCAACGTTGGAATTAAATATTTTTTTAACAAAAAGAAATTTTATTAAAGGAGCAGATAATGCAAGTACATCTAGGAATTTTGATGAAATATTAAAATATGTACATTTCAATTTGTAGCTTTATTGTTTTGAAGATCGGGGCAATCACCGAGTTGCATTGAGGCCTGAACTTACTCCTTCTTTGGCAAGGCTGGTGATACAAAAAGGGTAAAATTCATTTTTATGCATATTTTAGGTTTTCCTATATTTTTAGTTCTATGTTAAGTCTGTCTAAAAGTTAAACTTTGATCTACATATCTGAAGTCTTTTGTATGTGAATGCCAAATTCTCATTTTCATGTTTCTTCTTCAATTTCTAGGAAGTTTGTGTCATTACCAATAAAGTGGTTCACTGTTGGACAATGTTAGCTAGCTAGGTCATGCATTTGACAGTACATACAGAAAGAGACAAGAAAACAAATATAACTATATATCACATAAATTATGTTGCCTTTCATAATTTGATTTAGCCACTTGGTTATTATTTTTGTGATATTATTGTGAGATCTATTTTTATTTGTATTGATTAATACTTAGTAGTGTGTGTTGAATGACTTTAACAGGGATATTTAGATTTGGAAATTGAAATGGACGAGTCAATTAGTAAACCTATGACTGTTTGTGATAATGAAATTGAGGTAAAGGATGTTGAAAAAGATTTTGAATCCACTGATGTTCAACATGATAACAAAAGGGTCAAGTCCACAACATCAAATTGTTGGAAATTTTTAACTAGGATGGGAAAGGGTGATGATGGAAAAGAAAGGGCAAAGTGTAATGGTTGTGGCAAAACTTATGTAGTTGGTGTGGCAAAACATATGGGACTTCTCATTTAAATCATCATATTCCCAAATGTGAGAAAAGCAAATATGAAGATATGAGTCAAATGATCTTAGACATGCAAGGAAAGTTGAAATCAAGAAAGATAGATCAAATGGTTTTTCGTGAGTTGTATTTTCATCTAATGATAAGACGTGGTTTGCCTTTCAATTTTATTGAGAGTCATGAGTTTAAGGCTTTGATAGCGTATTTGAATCCTGGTGCAAATACATTTTCTAGAGATACTTCTAAGGTTGATATGTGCAGAATTTTTATTAGAGACAAAGCAAGGCTTAAAAGTGAGTTGGCTACCATTCCTAATAAGATTTGTTTAACATCTGATTTATGGACATCTTGTAATACTGAGGGTTTCATTAGTTTAACTGCTCATTATGTTGATCTAAATTGGAAGTTAAATAGAAAGATTCTTAACTTTCATCATATGCCTCCCCCTCACACTAGTTTTGAGTTATCTAAAAAGATTGGGGACTTCTTACAAGATTGGGGAATAGAGAAAAAAAATTTCTCTATCACTTTGGATAATGCTTCTGCTAATGATGTTCTACAACAGACGTTAAAAAAATAACTTGTTTTGCAAAAAGGGTTGATATGTGATGGTGAATTTTTTCATGTGCGTTGTTGTGCTCATGTTTTAAATTTGATTGTTCAACAAGGATTAAAGGTACTTGATGACACTTTGGATCAAATTAGAACTATCATCAAATATGTAAGGGGTTCAGAGAGTAGAATGATCAAATTCAAACAATGTCTTAAAAAATT